AGAGTGAGCTTTTTTTATTACTTATTCCATTAATTTAGAGAAGTGCTGTGTTTGGTTTTTCTTCTTTTACTTCATCCAACTGCCTTGCTGGGGACAAGACCTAAGCTTGAGCTGTGCAGTTTTATTCTTTTTCCTCTTGCCATCTTTGAACCTCTTCAGGTGTTTCTCCAAAGCTGTAACTTGCTCATAAGTGTAAGTAGGTGTTTGCTTAGTTTGCCGTTGTTCCAGCAGTTCTGCTGAAGTTACAGGTCATCTTTTGGAAATAAAGCTTCTCTGTTACTAGTAATGTACTACAAATGTTGCTTTGGGTCTTACGTGGTAGATTTTGAGTCTTCGGCCTTGCTGAACAAGTCTCTTTTGAAATAAATGGAATAAATCCACCCCTACACTGTGTCATGAAAGGGCGACTAAGTGATCCATAGCTTGTCTGTGTTAGTTATCCACTTCCTTATGATCTGTTTTTGTATTCACATGGGAGGTAATTTTTCTGCACAGATAAAAAGCTGCGAAGGTCTAGCAGGTATCGTAGCTGCAGGTCTCTGCTTTAAAATAATTTTTCTGTCATTTCTTTGTTCTGGAGGCAGGGGTGAAATGTATGTTTGGAAATCTATATTTCCCTATTCTAGAAATAGGAATTTCCAGGTAATGGGCCTCTGTATTTTACAGACCAGAAATTATAAGCGGTGAGGTGCAAAATGGGGTATTACTGGCGTTAGATGAATAATGTGATGTGTATCCTTAACAACTTCAATAGCTGTTAAATTGCTTTTAGTTTTTATCCCAATTCAAATGGTGTAGTTTTATGTAATATAGAGCCATAGTCCCTCTAAGTGGGACTTACAGGGGTCCCTCTGGGAAGGATTTTCAGTTCTTTTTCTTTTAAGCTGTGCTACTGACTGTGATGTATGTGGGAAGATGCCTTCTACTTAAGGGTTTAGTGGAGGTTTTTTCTTAGTAATTATTCTTCTCCGATGAGTCTTCCATGCCTTCAGCTTTTCTGAAAACAGTCTTTATTTGAATGTAGAAATACAGGTTTAACTACATTATTTTCACTAGTGTATTGAAAAACCTCAGCTCCATTGCATGAGGTGTGTATTCAAAGAACTGGGCTTTCCATGTTCCTGGCTACTTTGCTGTCATCTGTATTGCACATGGCATGATTTCTTGACTGGATGAGAAACTGTGTGTGTACAACACTCCTTGGAGGCACATAACAGCTTTGTAAGTCCAGTCTGCTCTTTCAGCAAGGGAGGCCAACAGCCTCTCCAGGGCTGCATCAGGAACGTCACATCACCTGCAGGTCGAGGGTGTGATCCTTCTCTTCTCAGTGCTGAGGAGGCTACAGCTGGAGTACTGGGTCCAGTCCTGGGCTCCCAACTACGAGAGGGACATGGACATACTGGAGTGAGTCCAGTGAAGAGCCACAAAGATGCTGAAGGCCTTGAAGCATGTGTGCTATGTGGAG